CAAAAAAGTGTCTGCCCATGACCTAATGCCTCAGAAATCTGCCCTCTTATGCAGACAGTGTGGTAAGAGGGGCCGTGCAGCGGATGTCAGGCAGCAGGAACTCTGTGGGGAGAGATGGGACTTCCCATCCAGAGCTGCAAAGCAGTGGTTTGGGGAACCCCCATCTCAGCAACGGAAACAGCTCTGCAGAGGTGAAAAAGGGGGAGTCAAACCTTCTTCCTGATGGGGAACAAGACCTCCAGCAAACATTGACAATACTGAAGGCAGAGGGACTCTGGGTATGACAGCCAGGGGTGTAACAAGAAGTGAATGGGACCCTGAACTGAGGCACTGGAACCTGAGGTCTAGCTAGGGAGCAAGGAGAGGAGGGCACAGGCTGCTCTACTCTCACCCCTTCCTGCTGCTGGTGATCCTGTGCTGGAGAGCAGCTGGGTGCAGAAAGCCTTGGGGTGTTTATCAGGTCCTGGGTGGCTTGCCTAGCAGGGAGTGGAAGCAGAAAGGTTGACATCAAGCGCCTAGAGCTGAATTTTACTTTCACACCTCTTGTGTTATTTTCAACAAAAGAGAGAGAGTTTCCAGGAGGGAAGGGTGCAAGGACTTCTTCTCACTGAAGCCTCTGCCTTCTTTTGGTGAGACTTATGTTAAAGACGCTGGGGGAGGAGATCACAGGGAGTTTCCCTCTGTGCAGAGGAACTTGGCTATTAGAGTAAAAAGGCTGAAACTCCCAAGAAGAGAGTTGCCGTGACCTCAGACCTCCTTTCTAATTGTTCCCAATTCACTTATCATACTGAAAGTCCTGCATCAGAGGGCCTGAAACACTAACACCTTACTTAACCATCCAACTGCAGGGAGCTGACCTTGAATTTTGGTGCTACAGCCCACACACAGGCCTGCTGCTGACTGCCTGCCTTCCTTCTGGTACAGGAAAAGCTGCACCAGAGCATTTGTAGGGTCATGGCAGCATTGCTGCAGCCCATCAATGCAGGCAATGTGTGTCCACAGCCCTGTGCTCGCTTGGCTCCTTTCTGCCAGCACCATGGCCATGCTGCCAGGTCATGCCTTGGCCCACTCTGCTTAACCTGATGTCCCAGTGGGGGAAGAGCAAGTGTGTATGAAAGGGCCAGGAGGGCACGGGGAAGGAGCTGGAAATGTTCGCAGGGGAAAGTGGTACAGGTCAGGCAGACCTGCTCAGGGTGTGAAACGCTCTGGCCACCCAAGGCCTCCCTGGAGCAGGCAGGGAGGGAAGCTGTGCTCTGCTCTGACAGCTGCTCAGCAGATACCACTGCAGGAAGGAGAGGGAAAGGAGAGGGGAAGGAGAGAAGTGAGGAACTCTGGCCACCCGAGCTGGCGGCGGAGCGTGGGAAGCGCTGATGCCTGGCTTGGGGGCCTGGCCAGGAGACAGGCTGGCTCCCGCCCACGCCTTCACGGGGATAAAAGCATTAAGAACAAAACCCCAAAAGACCAAAGAAGTTGTTTTTGCAGGAGGAGAGCTCCCACCTTGCCCTTGGCAGAGCAGACTGAGGTGACATCAGGGAGCGGGCAGGGATGGCTGCTATCGCATACAATCAGCATGAGGCAATGGGACAGGAGCCATCACCACCTCAGGCAGCCCTGTGCACGCAGCAGGGCCGTGTGTGTGGCGAGTTGCCATGGCACGGCTGCTAACAGGGCCCTCGGCCCCACTGAGTCACCCGGCACCACAATGGCCGCGGCTGACACATGGCACTGAAATGGGCGGCTGTGGGGCTGTGTGGCACCACACGGGCCTGGGAACCCAGAGAGGGCAAAGTCCAGTGGCCTCTCCCAGCTAAAGCATCCCTGGCTACTCAGTACGTGCCTGGACTTTCCCTTGCCATTGTTGTCCCTACTGCCATGCTCACCCTGAATCTGCCTCAGTGCCTGGGAGCCAGGGACCAGCAGAAAAGCCAGCTCTGTCCTGCTTCCTTTCTGTAGAGAGGGTCCTGGGGGCTTCCAACCTCCACGATGACATCAGGGTAATGTGCTGATGTCAGCCATGGCTGGTTTCCATCTGCCAGAATGCTATTGCCTGGGAGAGGGGAGTGAGGGCGGCCTGGATGAGCGGGGCTCCACTGCCAGCAGGGTGCCATCGCCACAGCACGCTGGGGCTGTCACACTGTCACCTCCATCGCCTGTCCACAGCGCAGGGTCCATGTCTGCAGCAGGAAATTGCCTTCCCTTGGGCCTCTCCCACGCTGGAGCATGGCCCAGGCAGTGCAGATAAGTGGGGCCTGGCGGGCCGGCAGCGAGCACCCGCTGTGCTGCTGGGCTGCTGGGAGCCTGGGATGCTCTACCTGGCCTCCAACCCGCCTGTGGCCTGGTGCCAGCCCTGCACAGCACCAATGCCCTGTGTCAGCTGTGCCCACGGGGCTGCGTGCCGCGGGAGCCATGGCACAAGGGGCACGCTGGCCAGCATAGCGCCAGCCCTGTGCTGGGGCTGGTTTGGCCAGCGGGATGGAGGGTGGCACGGGGCTCTCGGTGTGAATCCCAGCTGCTGAGTGTGATGTTGGCTGGGGGACAGGAGCCCACAGGAGGGGTGATGGACAAAACCACTCCCTGTGCGTGCACTGGGCCGTGCAGGAGAGCCCTTGTCTCGGCAGCTGCCCTGGGGAGGAAAGGCCTAGACGGAGGAATGTGTGTGGGGACAGGGAAAGCTTTGAGCTGGGTTTATGGAGTGGTCAAGAAAACACAGGAAATTGGCTGCAGCTGAAGGTCCTCCTGCCTGGAGACTGCAGCAGGGACGGGAAAATAGACAAGCGATGTGTCATGGAGGGAGGAGACAGCGCCCGATAGCAGCAAGGCATGGAAAGCCAAGAAGGGTGCCAAAGACAGCACAGGATTGTCCCGGTTCGATAAGGCTCTGGGCAATAAAAAGGGACTTTATGGGCTGTTGGAAGCCAAAGGCAAGGAACCATGTGGAAATGCCAAGCCTGTAAGGAAGGAGAGCAAAGAAGTGGATAAAGATTGCTGAGCTAGAACTGGACAAGGGATAAGGAAAATGCTTTCCAGGCCATTAGGAAAGGAGGATGTGAGACAACAGCTGCTAGAGAAGATATTTAAAAAAATCCTTAAGCCTGGATAACTCACACCCAGGGGTCCTTTCAGGGCTGGCTGGAGCAGGAGCCAGGATCCACAGGATGGGGAGAGCTCTAAAGCAGCACTCACCACTGGAAAGGACTGTGCTCCCCAGCACAGGGGTGGGAGGCCAGAGAGGAGCAACCAGAGGGAAGGAGTGCAAATACAGTTCACGTTGGCTGGAGGACCCTTTGGACCACTGTGATTTCTCTCCTCATTGCAGGCAGCCATTTGGCTGCAAGAGCCTGCTCTGTAGCGGGAAGGAATTTCACGTGTTGTTTCATGTTGTTCAGATACTGGTGGAAAAAAAAGTAAAGGCATCGCACTAGATGCGCAGTGAGCACATTAAATGGGCTATGAGCTGGGGAACTGGCCAAGAAACCATCAGAGGGGGCTTCCAGCAGGTCTCATGCCCAGGCACAGGCAGGATCCCCGCGGCGCTGGCGGAGCAGACCCGTGTCTCTGGCACAGACCAGCTGTGCTCCCTCTGCTAACCCACAGCAGGAATCCATCTCCGTGCCAGGTTCTGGTTCTGTGCTTCTCTCAGGAGCTCAGGCTTCTCCCACAGAGCAGCTCTGGCCCCCAAGGATTAACCCCTGGGATTGCTTCATGTCGGGGGTTCAATGCCTGGGGACCCGGGCTGGGCACAGCACGGCCCGCTGAGCAGGAGGCAGGCAGGAATATCGCAGGGATATCGCAGGAATATCACAGGGATATCACAGGGATATTGCAGAGATATTGCAGGGATATTGCAGGGATATCGCAGGGATATTGCAGGGATATCGCTGGAATATCGCAGGGATATCGCAGGGATATAGCTGGAATATCGCTGGAATATCGCTGGAATATCGCAGGGATATTGCAGGAATATCGCAGGGATATTGCAGGAACATCGCAGGGATATCGCAGGGATATTGCAGGAACAACGCAGAGTTGCTGCTGCTGCTGCCCAGCGCTGCTCCCCGTGTCCCCAAGCTGTTCGGACTGCAGTGAGCTGTGCTTTTGCCATAGCTCTGCCGGCTTTTGCAGCAGCTCTGTCCGCCAGGAAGGGTGGGGGGAGCTCGCAGGGCTTCCCGGGTGTTTTCTGCCGGGGCAGGAGGCGCGTCCATGGCTCGGGGAGGTGACACACGTGGGTGACAGCCCGGGAGCGTCCTGTGCCTCCAGGCATGAGCGCAGGCCGAGGGAGCGTCGGGACCACCGGCGGTCCGGCAGGTGCGAGGAGGTGCGGGGACATCCAAGGACGTGCAGGGACATGCAGGGAGATGCAGGGACATGAAGGGACATGCAGGGAGATGCAGGGACGTGCGGAGACATCCAGGGAAGTGCAGGGAGATCCAGGGCGATGCAGGGACATCCAGGGATATGCAGGGAGATGCAGAGACATCCAGGAAGATGCAGGGTGATGCACGGATGTGCAGGGACATGCAGGGAATGTGCAGGGACATGCAGGGACATCCAAGGAGATGGAGGATGATGCAGAGAGATCCAGGGGGATGCAGGGACACCAGGGAGATGCAGGGCGGTGCAGGGAGATGCAGGAAGATGCAGACACATCCAGGGAGATGCAGGGACATGCAGGGGGTTGCAGACACATCCAGGGAGATGCAGGGGGTTGCAGACACATCCAGGGAGATGCAGGGACATGCAGGAGGTTGCAGACACATCCAGGGAGATGCAGACACACCCAGGGAGATGCAGGGAGTTGCAGACACATCCAGGGAGATGCAGGGACATCCAGGGAGTTGCAGACACACCCAGGGAGATGCAGGGAGCTGCAGACACATCCAGGGCGAGAGGCAGGGCTGGCGCGCCCGCAGTGCGCCCTCCCCGCGGCCAGGGGGCGCTGCCGCGGGTGGGCGGCCCGGAAGGGCGCTCCCGCTGGAGCCCGGGGCGGCGGGAGCGGCGTGATGCGCGGGCGGCGGCGGGAGCAGCCCCGGGAGCAGCAGCGGCAGCGGGGCCCGGCGCTGTCTGCCGCCGTCGGGGCGTTGTGCCGGGCCCTGCCGCCCCACGCCCGGCCCGCCCCCGACACCCTGCGCCGCGCCAGGTTCGACCGGCCGCAGGCGGTGAGCGCCGGCCGCTCCGCCCGGAGACCCTGCGGGGACCAGCGGAGACCAGCGGGACCCCCGAGTGCGGCGGGGCCCGGGGACACGCTGGGCTCTGCACGGCAGCGCCACGGGCACTGAGCCTTGGACAGGCCCTCCGTGAGGGGCCGCGGTGTGACCCCGGCTCGCTGTGGCCCCGGCTCCCTGTCCGCCCAGCAGACGCGTGTTAGGGAATCTCAGCAAACTCGCCGCTCTGGGAAGGGCTGTGCCTCACTGTGGCTGTAACCTGGTGTTCACCCTGGTCTGCGACACCTCCTCGGTGTCGCCTGGGGTTGCTGCCCTTTGCCGTACCCAGCTTGGGTCTGGCTGTGCCTCCGAGGCTGCCAGCTCGCACACAGGGTACCTCCCTTCCTCGGCTATTTTAAGGGTTTTACGAGTGTTGACTGAGATTCCAGCCGTAAGAATCACTGTTTGAGTTTGTCAGCATGCTGTCCTTGTGCAGCCAAGAAACCATTCTCAGTTCCAGCTCATTCTGTCGTGCCTCTTAGTGAGGTTGGCGCTGGTCAGATGTGTTCAGGTGCCTGTTTGACTGCGGCTGAGCTGTGCCATATGTGGCTGTATCAGAGCAGATTTTGGACTGCTCCACACATGGGTGTCTCTGTAGGAGTGCTGAGTGTTGCTGTACAACATTAGCCCTTTTCTTTCTGTCTGCTCCTTTCTATAGATTCTGTGTTCACCAGGCAGGAACGTGAACATACATGAACAGAACATTGACATACATGAATCTGCCTGATCAGATGGTGCTGGCTGGGTCAGCAGATGTGCTGTTCCGTGTGTGATGTTCAGATATGGGCTTAATTGCCTAATTAAGACTAAATAATTAATATGGCAGATATTTTTCCTGCTGATCTCCCCTTCCACCCCTCTCTTTTGCAGAGCCTGGACTTCTGGAAGCTGCTGTATGTGCTTCTGAAGCAGATCCACGGGGGCAGCTGGACAGAGTCTGATGCTATAGGTAAATAACATCATTCTGGCTGACTGCAGTTTCCATCTGTCCTGGGACAGGTTTTGTAGCACCTTTGGCTCCTTTCTCCCTGTAGTGAGTGCTCTGTGTTGCACACTTGTGCCACCAACTTACCAGGCCTCAGGTTTAGTGATGAGGAAACGTGCTGCGAGGCAGGTTTGCTACTCTTTGTCCTGGAAACTGGGATGTTCCACGGGCTCTTGCATCCCTGTGACATTTTATTTCAGGTAAATCTCTGCAGTGATGTTATGCATTTGCATTCTCAGTATCTGCAAAGACAGAAGTAGATTTGGTTTTTTCCTTCTTTTCCCATTCATACCATGATTCTGTTAGTCATTTTCTATCCAGTCCTGTGTCAGAGCCAGGAATTGCAACGTGAGAACCATGAAGGCAGTGTTTTGGATTGAAGTTCTAGACAAAACAAGAAATGGACTGTGTGTGATTACTTTAGGGGGACTGTGAATAATGTCTTTAAGGACAAGGCCACTGCTCCAGAGAGGAGGTGAATGCAGATTGGCTTCTCAAAACAGCAGAAACACTATTTACTTCTTAAATGTACCACTACTTCCCACCTTCTCTCTTGAAACATGTCTGTCTAGGGCCTTTTCATTGTATGAGAATTGTATTGTGATGAATCAAGGTCTCCTCATACCAACTCCATTTAATATTCACTTGTGCCCTTGAAAGCAAAACACCCTAAACAGCACTGCATGAGCCCCTGGCTGGCTGTGAGCCTGGTGGCTCTGTAAATGGAATTAAGAAAGGTTCAGCATTGTGGAATGCAGAGCAAAACCACCAGCATAGTTCAGCTGGTAGCTCAGCAGGAAGTCCTGTTACTCGCAGGACTGCTATTTTTCATTTGGCTGTCTTTATTTTTCCACTCATCCACAGTCTGCTGTGTATGGCAAGTCTGTTTATTGACTGTCTCCCACGGCATTGTGGATGTGGTCCTGCACATTGCAACCTTATTGGGTCCTGGCTGCTCCCATACTGATTGCCTGTAGCATCTGGGGACAGAATTTCCAAGTGCATGTGGCAGGTTCCTGGCTCTGGGGACAGCAAACACAGCCTCAGCTGGTACATTGTGAGGTACCAGTGTGTGGTTCTGCTGAGAACTGCTCTGCTGATTTCTGAGAAACCTTTTTAGTCACAACTCGGTGATTAAAGCTGAAATTTGGGCTGGGGAGCTGTACTGTTTTTCAAATGACACTAATTACTTTTGCTTGGCAAGTGAATGAGTTGTCTGCTCTGAACACAATCGATATTTTACTGCTTTTCTTCTCTGCCCCAGCTCTGGTCTCTTGTGTATTTAATGCAAATGAAATAAGCCTTGGGCATAGGCACTAAATAACTTTCTCAGGTTTGTGTAGGATCCTGTTACACAACAGAGAATTGAAACAGATTCCTCTAATCCAAGTCTAGTGCCTTAGTCCACAGATCAAGCTCTGCTTTTCTTTGCTCTTTTTGTACAACCTCTTAATTACCTTGGTTAAAATAAGGAGGGCAGCAGTTGCCAGATCCCAGAGGAGGGCTGTGAAGACTCCTTTGGTCTAGGGGTTACTGTGAGCATAGAAACAGCTTTCTGGAAAAGAGAAGCCATTCTCCAGTGATCTTGTATCCTTTATTTTTCAAAAGGAAACACTGATCTTTGGCTAATTCAGGAATCCCACTGAAGCCTACCAGTCAGTGGTTATAAAATTCTGCAGCTGCTGCTTCCTGGTTTCTGGTTCTGTGAGAATTTTTTCTTCCCACAGTGAAAAGCACTTACTGTAAACTTTGGTGTAAACTTGCTGTAAAACCCAGCCCCTTAAACATGTCACAGCAGTGGGCCCCTGGACAGTGGAGAGTCAGAGTAAGCTGTGTGAATACTCTGGGCATAACCTTGCTGATGAAATCATGATTAGTGGTTTCAATGCTGCTTGTTCTTAACAGAGTCTGATGGACTTGGTTAACAAACTGACAGCCCCACCAGGTAGCAGTGCAATATGCATTTGGATAGTTGGAGGACACATTTATTTTCTGGGATTGCTGTTCAGTTTTTATGGCATGGGAAAGAGGTGTGGAGCTGCAATAGATTTTTGTTTGTTTGACAAAAGCAGCAGAAAATGTTTTTCTGAAGCAGTAGTTTCCCATAATACCACTACCTATGCAGGTGTTCCTTGTCTGAGTGCATGAAGTGATGTGTCTGTGCCTGTGCTTGTACTTGGTTTGTAGTTCCTTTCCATTTTAGCCTGCCAGCCTAGTGCATAGCTCTTATTTGAATATCATCTTGTAAACACTGAAAATATTTGTCAGGAGTGGAAGAGTATAGTTTTAAGTGAGCTGAACCCTGAGGTTCATCCCCAGCTTGATCTTACTTGCTGAATATAGTTTTATAAATACTATCTGTGGAGAAGGGGATTAGTTGGGAGCCTTATGAAGGCCTTTCTGTATAAATTTCCCAATCCTAGTGCCATGAGAAGATGTCAGAGAGGTGTCTGGTGTGTCTCTTCTATCTGAGTGATGTTTTTTCCTCTCTCTTGGTTGCACATTATGGAAGAATCCATCTTGGTCCTGGGTGCTCACATAACTGCCATTTATACTTTTGTTGCCATTTGTACTTTTGCATTTTAACTTGAGCACTCTGGAGATGGGGAAAACTAAGGGACTTCTCTAAGGTCACAGGAAGGCTCCTTGAGCCCCAGATCCATGCCTTGACTGCTCACTCCCAACTCCTGCCTGGCACACCAGCTGCACTCTCTCCTGTGAGGGCAGTGTGTTGCAGAGGGAGATATGAAAGAGGGGGAGATAAAGGACCAGAAGAACACTGAAATTCAGGTGGTGAATTGCCTTGGTGGGTCTGGCCTGAATGATATATCAGAGCAGGGAAATGGTGATAAAAGAAAATAAAAACCACCTGACCTGCCCTCCTTTCCTCCACTTTGATATGTGATTTTTCAAGGAGCTCCTTGAACTGCAGATGGCAGCATGTGATGCTTATTTGCTTTGAAAAAGGAGGAAAGCATGTACTGACCATCCTTCCTTTTGGAGGATTTCTTCCTTTATCTGTTATGGCAGTTCCTTTCTTGACAAATGCACACAGAAAAGGAAAGGATGTCATGAAAACCCTGCTCATGTAGGAATGTTCACAAGTGATCAAAATAAAATCTGAAATATCTCCATGCTCCTCTTGTGCTTGAAGGATTGGAGAGCACATCTCCAGTAAGATTTTTAGCAAGCCATAGGCATCTCTGCCACCCTGACATGGGGAAGGGAAGCTGCTTGTTCCATTTACAGGGTCTGTGGAAAGGGCAAATGGAGTGATTTAGGTCTTTGTAGGAATGCCTGAACTGCATGAAACTGTAGATTCCTCTAGCTCCACCCAGCTGTGACAGCTGTCAAAGGGAAAGAAAAGAGCAAATCTAGAAGGATGCTTTCATGGCATGGGGGATACTCCTTCAGCCTCCAGCAGTTTACATCTCAGACTTTGCAATCCAGAGAGGATATGTTAGTGTTTCATAAGTTTCCATGAACTGCTGTTCTGTGAATCCAGTTTCTCCTTGAGCCTGAGTGACTCTCAGGAGTCCATAGAGTCCCACAGTGAGCAATTTCAGAATTTTGCTGCATGTGTGAAAAGCATCTCTTTTATCATGTTTTGACTCACATGCTTGCTAACTTTGTTGGCTCACAGTTCTTGTGTTGAGTGTTGTGCAAACAAATCATCCACTCTTCACCAATTGCACAGCACTCAGGATTTTGAAGAGTTTTGTCATATCCATTCTTGCTCTTCTTGGCCTACTTCATCGCTTCTTACAGTGCAGCTGTTCTGTTCTTGTGGTTGTACTTGTCCTTTCTCTTCATTTCTTTCCAAATTTTCTGTAGCCTTAATGGGAGAGAAGAAATAATCACAGGGTCACAGTGGGTATTTGTGTTCTGTTCAGTGTCCTTGCTAGGTTTCTCACACTGAGCTTGCCTTTGGATGCCTGTCAGAACCAATTGTGATACTGTCATTAAAAACCTTATCATCTGAGATGGTGTTCCTGAGCCCACAGAGCACTTCCAGGTCCAGTCTCATGTTGTAAGTCAGTAAAGTTAGGAACATTTCTTTCTTTGTGCACATAATTTTTCATTTTTTCTAAAAATACTTTTATCTGTCTTTTTAAAGCTTGGGCTCAAGGTTCTGCAGTCCTTCATGATCTGCCTGCATTCTTTACTACTAATATCACATCAGCACCAAGTTTTCTGTCACTGTCACGTTGTCTAAGTGTCATTTTGAGTTGTTTGAACAGCAGCTGTTTAGCACAGAGCCCTCATGTGAAACCACTGTTTGTTCCTGCCCTCTGGTTCTTGTCTGCTGGGTACTTGTCATTGATCCAAGGCTTTTCCTCTCCCCCCACTGCAGTGCCTTGGTTTCTTTGTGCAAGCTGAATCCCAGTGGGAAGTCTAAATGTCTTGCACTGGTTGAATCTTCCTTAATCACTTGCTTCTTGTAGCCCTCAGAGAACTCCAGAAACTTTCTGAGCAGATCTTCCTTTTACAGCTGTTGGTTCTTAGCCAGTATGTGTTGTTTTCATTGTCCCCCTAATTATGTTCTTTATTCTGTTTTTGACTTAGTGCAGAGCCAAGGTTTATCGGGCAGAACCTTTTTTAATAATAACTTTCTCTATGTTTCCTCAGTATTTTACAGCCCTGCAGTGCCTGTCTTGTAGCTGTCAGGTAACATTTGCTGGTGTGAAGGAATATGGATCAGAGCATTCCTGAGAATTTAATAGCCCATGTGCTGTGCTGCATTATCTCTCCTCTCTGGTGCTCAGAGATTTGCAGCAGGCTGTGAAGCTCCTATCTCTAAATTCCAGTTTAGTTCAGGAGTAGAGTGGTTCAGAGTGTTTACTAATTCATAGCATGCTTGGTGACTCATAAAAAATGAATAGGTGAATTGGAGTCCCATTGTAGTGGGGGTGGCTAGTTGCCTTTGTTGCCTTTGTTAATTTCCAGGACGCCATTACGGGTCTTGATCCCAACTTTGAATTTCTTCTTTTCCCTGAGCAGCAGTTCCTGCAATCAGAATGGGGCAGTATAACGAAGGCTTTTATCCTTTCCCTCCTGTCTTTCACCAGCTGTTGATTGTTTCATATAGATAAAAACTTATAAAAGAAAAGCCTTATAAAACATGGTTTAAACCTTACTCTTCTGGCTAAACTAACCTAAGAAAAAAAATTATAAAAATAAAAATCAGTTTACATAACAATCTATTGTTATGAGAAAAGAGTTCACAGCTACAAAAATAAAAAGTCTATCCTGTGAGTCCATAAAGAAAAAATATAAACTATCTGGAAATAAAAAAAAATTTGATCAACATGTACATTAGCCATTACCAACCAATCAACTGAGTTTCAGTAATTTGCTATCCAATTAAATTCAAACAGGGCACTTCTAACACCATATAAAAGTAAAGCTATGTGCAATAAAGATTCAACCATTCTACACAAAACCCCAAGCATCTCACCCATCTCATTTCTATCTCCAGCTCAAGGCTACAATGACCCTTGATAAAGACCAAATCCCCCCTGCCCTCCTGAGGCTGGGTGAAGGTGCTGCCCTCCGAGGAGGCAGCACTGTGGGGCTGGGTGTGTGCATGCAGTGCTGCAGGGCGTCACTCCGTGGTGTTTTGCCGTTGCAGGTGCCCAGGTGAGGTTTGTGCAGTGGGCTCTGTGGTACCACGGCTACCGGCGGCCCCAGCTCCGGCGGCTGCCGGCCGACGGCTCCGCGGGCAGCCGGGAGCTGCTGCTGGCCTTCTCCTGGCTGCTGCACTGCCCCGGCCTCCTGGAGCAGCTGCTGGCCCACAACAGAGTGCAGACTGGGGACCACACCTCTGTGTGCACGGTGAGCATGCTGTGTCCTCCCCCCCACGCTGTGCACGAGTCACCTGTGACAGCAGCTGTGTCACCGGCAGGGTGTCACGGGTGCTGGCCTGGTGCCTTGGCAGGTAAGCGACTGCAGCTTCAAAAATGGCCACTGTCTGTTTCCTTTCCCTTCTCTGAGCTTTCTGTGCGCAAAGCTTAGGGGTTCTTCGTCACAGACACATTTTATGAAAAATCCTTTTGCCAGGGTTTTTTCTCCTGAGAAGCTGAGAAGCCTCAGGAAAAAGAAAAAGAAACACAATGCTTATCTGCTGCTGTGGAATGCAACAGGTGCATATTTGATTGGTCCATGTGGTTGTTTTTAATTAATGGCCAATCAAAGTCCAGCTGTCTCAGACTCTCTGGTCAGTCACAAGATTTTATTATCATTCCATTCCTTTCCTTTCCAGCTTTCTGATGAAATCCTTTCTTCTATTCTTTAGTATAGTTTTAGTGTATCATTTTCCTTTAATATAATATATATCATAAAATAATAAATCAGCCTTCTGAAACATGGGGTCAAGATTCTCCTCTCTTCCCTCGTCCTGGGACCCCTTTTAACGCCACCACAGTTCTTTCTCTTTATCAAACTCTCTCCCCTGCCTGAATTCCCTGATTTCTATTTCCAGTGTGGGTGAGGCCACTGTGGAGGTAAGTGAATCTCTTCAGTCTCTCTGCTTCTGGGTCTTGGGCTCCCAGACTGATCTGTGAGTGGTTCTGCAGGGCAGGCAAACAGGTTAGCAGTGAATGCTGCCTGTGTTGGCACTGTTGGGTAGAGCAGGTAAAGCAAATAATACTTTTTGCAAACAACAAGGTCTCAAATGGCAGCTCCTGCCCTTGAGGTAACTAATGACCTTTGAGAACACACTAGAGTATGTTGTTTTTTCTGTTAGTAAAAGGTGTTAGTACATAGAAAGTGTTCAGAAGTAGCCATCATCTAGTCAGACACTAATTACTGCTCAGTCTGCTTCAAGATGACAGGCTCACAGAATTTCTTAGTTTTTTGGCAAAGGACTTTGTAGGTCAGAAGCCCTACCTCTGATTATCTTGTGTCTAAGGTGTGTGGTCTTTCTTGAGCCTATATATGTTTTTCCCCTGGTTTTCTGGAGCCTTTTTAGGGGGCAGCAAAGCAGGAAAGCTGCAATATAAAAACAGTGTCTTCAGAAGGAAAACACTTGTACAAATGGAAAACAGTTCAAGGAAAAGAATCCTTTTTGTAACAACATTACAAGAAGTATTTTGAGGAAAAGGGACCACTCTTGCTGCACTACAATTATTTGCTGCACAGAAGAGGGAGCACAAGAGGCTGAGCTGTGAGTGGCAGTGCCATCTACTTATGTGAAGGGTGCCTTGAGATTTCAGAAAAAACACATTGCTGGACAACTTTTTACTTTCAGCTTCTCTTTTACCTTTTTCTTGTTTTTAATTTGCAGTAGCAGTTTCTCTTTTTTTTTTTTGTTAAAATTTTCTTTTATTTCTGTTACAAAAGAGTGACAAGTGAAATGTGATGTGAATTCAGGAAGTGGGGCAGCACCTGTGTTATTTTCTCTGAAGGCTTCAAGTTTTGCAATTCCCAAAAAGGGATGAAAGAACTATGGTAATACAATGTTATCTCTCATGGCCACACATACTGGTGTGTCTTTCACTGCAATTCTCACCTGCTGTACTCATGTTTTTCAAAAAGCATGGGATGCATATTAAATGTTTTTAGTCCATAACTGTCCCAAACAGTGTTTGGAAAGGCTTGAGAGTCTGAATATTTTTTTTAATGGACCAGACAAAAATTGTATAGACTGGAAGTTGGAGTTAGCTTGTGTATGTAAAGCTCATTGTATTAATGGAAGCATTTCTTGTATGGTGTTTATCCAGCAGTTTTGATGCTCCAATAAAAATAGATATTTACAAGGGAAAAAAAAGAATATAGTTATAGCATAACTAGTGGGTTTTGTGATTCTCCATCACAAGAAAGTTAAAGCAAATGGAATTTTGAGGGAGAGGTCTTACCTTTTATTTGATCAACTAGGCATTGCAAAACCAATAAATTTAGTCTTTAGGTGCAAAGCAAATGAAGATCTAGGACTGCACTGGCAAGGATGCAAGGAGGCAGTGGTGGGTGAGGAGATGGGTGGGTCACACACCTCATTTTGGTCAGTGAATCAGCTCCTTGGAAACCACTCATGAAAACCTGCTGTTTGTTTGTTTCATAAAAGTGATAAGTTTTATTGCTGTTAGATATTGGTATTTGCTGGCTGTTGTTATTTGGTTATTTTTTGTTATTTTTATTCATGTGGCAAAGCCTGCTCATCAGCCAGTGTTCAGCAATAAAACCCCAAAATCTCAGTAAGAGAGGGGGAGGGTGAGGTTGTCACTTTGCTACCTGACATCTTGTAAGTTAATACACCACACGTGCAGTCTCTGCAGTCTTAACTCTCTTCTATTTCAGTAAAGTGAAGGAAAAAGGTAAAAGAAGAGGAAAAAACCTTCACTCAGGAATGATCTGTCTCAAAAAATAGGAGAAAGAGAAGGAAATGCTCTTGAAAACAATTGAAATGAAATTCCCAGTTGAGAACTTGAAAAATCTTCCACTGAATGAAATCTTTAATGATTGCCAACAATTTTCCTGAGGTGAAAATGTTTCAAAACAAAAATCCATAAAATACATTTGGTTCTGTGCATGGCTGAGATCTCTGCCAAAATGAGCTAAGTGTGGAAGCCAGTACTTGCTGGAAAAGTACATCTGTTGGTCTCCCAGTGAGAATAAATTTGGAGAGAACCCTTTGTCTTCATTTAAAAGGAAAGGAGTCTCAGTAACAGTAGGCATAGCTTTAGTTCAAACTGATATTCATGTGATTTGCTTTTACAATTTTGTCTGAAATCCACCAAGATGAACAGGGTCTGTTGTGTGAGAAGAGAGAATGGAGCTAATCCCTAAATTAAGTGTACAATCATGTTCTGACTGTTCTTTCAGCCCAAGTTTAAAACAAAGCCTGCTGAATTGCTGATAATGTGCCAAATACCCAACATATCAACGGCCAATTAATTTAAATAATTTCATTTCAGGCTACCACACTCTGGCCTTTTTTCCTTTGCAGTTCCTTAGCAACACCGTTTTCTTTCCCTGCAAATTGAACACTTCCATCAGCTCTAAAGGATTTTCAGAGGTACAAGGGTATTCATGACACATGATGGACAAGGAGCTCAAGCTCTGCATGGAATTCTTAATCTTTTGAACCTGAGCTGGGAAAAGCTTCCACAAGCTGACTTTTGCATGTACTTACATTTTCAGATTGTGATTCCTGAAATGATAAACTCTGAGATGATGACAGGTGGTAAGAGGTAGTGCTAATGTAGTCAGAACTCAGTGTGAGGTAGTTGTGGCAAGGACAGGCATGGTTGGTAGCCTGGGCTGGTTCTGGGGCTTGGCTGCCTTTGTGTGTTAGGTAAGAGATCCCTTCAGGGCGCCTCCAGCTCGTGGTTTTTGGCAGGGCAGAGCTGCAGTGTCTGCTGAGCCAGGATCCTGGGGCTTGTGGCAGGTCCTTCCCTGGCCATGTGAATTTATAAACTGGGAGGGGAAACAGCTAAAGGAGCAAACTGTGTTGCTGAGCAGGAAAAGGAGGAGGGGACCCATAATCTATGATAAACTGGGATCCATAATCCATGATAAACTTTATTCAGGTTCTCTGAATTTACTGTGCTCCTCTGTCAGCAGGTTGGTGACTCCAGAGGCAGTAAGTGAAAGTTCAAACCTTGCACTGGCCAACTCTTTAGAAGAAGTAATCACAAACTCTGTTGGATCTATAAAGACTTAAGAACAATCTAAATTGGAGGCTCACATCGATGCACTGAAGTGTCTGCTTGGGAATTCTCTCCTGTTAATTGCATTAAAGCACTGGGCCAGTAATTGATGGACAAGGTTTTCAAAGGCTTTTGACACCCCTTGTGAATTTCCATCTCAGATATTCACTGCTGTGATGTCTCAACGTCTGCTGTTGCTTTGGTGATCATGTACTGGCACATTATTCTCAAATGCCATTTATTGACTGTTATTCACACAGAACAAATCCAAGTGTACAAGACACAGCTGAAAACCTGTAGTTGAAGCTGTCTCCTTCACTGAACTTGGGAGGCACACCTGGGGAGTTCTCATTCTGTCTGAGAAGCATATAATTGATATAAACTTCCCTTTTTAGCACATTCAATATTTGACTAATTCTTATTTACCTCGCATTTTAAATTTCAATGATACCGCCCCAGCTTTCTCCAAATCTGTGATGGTTTGGCCAGGTAATAGCAGTAATTTGTGAGCACAATATTCTTCCTGTTTCCAGGGAGGAATACTGCCTGTGCTTCTTTTATTTCTACAGCTGAAATTAATCTGTGTGCCCTGTAATTTGATTATGTGTGGAGGCTGTTGAGCTTTTTAAATGGGTGTAGTGATGTTATATCCCTCATGATCATCAGGAGATGTTGCACAAACACTGGTTCTTGTTTCCACTAATTCCCCCTGTCTGCTTCTGGGCCTCTGGGTGAAATTGGATGCCCCTCCCCTTTTGTGAATTTGTAGTAATCAACAAATAGAGCTATTATGTCTCTTGTGCTTGGAATTCCTGCGTGTGTCTCCAGCATGCCAAAGTGAACTCAGTTTAATTACTTCTGGTGGGCAAAAATGAAGATAAACATGCCTTCTGACCCTTAGGTTTGCCATTTGATTAATCTTTTGTTTGTCATGGTCTAGTTTGGCTCACTGGCTATTTCCAGTATAGTGTAAGGCTTATGCTTGGTCTAATCTTGTTGCAATGCCTTCCTTTCAGAGAAAACCTGACAGTCACTGCTGTTCCATAAACCATGTTATTGAGGAAAGTGTTAAAGTAGCAGCCCAGCTCGATGCTCCCCCTAGTAGAAAACCAGGAAACCTTGGGCACTAGTTTCAGTGAAAAGTAGTTTTCTGCATTTTTTCCATGTCTTCATCAATTCCAGTGAGGA